TGAACCTGGTAATCTCTGTGAAGGTTGAATCTATTAATAATCTATTTATCGGGATAGTTCTTATATTCCTAATATTCCTAATATAATAATAAATAGGGTGAAATTCGCCAAGTTCTCTCTTTTTCTAACTGGGTGCGCTCCTATTCTTGATTGAATAATATCTTCAGCTAAGAACGCACTTATTTCAAGGTAATATCATGCCACTTTTGATAGGGACATTTTATAGGGCTCTCTAAATACGTGCACCTCTGAAGCCGCCGCCGTCGCAACTAGTCTAGCTGTGGCATACCCCCGCAAATAACGCCGCCCGCCGCGCCTCGCAACGCACCGCAAAACGCACCGCCAGTAGCTGTGGCCAGGCCCTTAGACACCGACTGAGCTCTCGCTATAGTGGTTTTAAGTAGTTGAAAAAATAGGGGCGCTAAAAAATGATTTATTCTCAAAGTGGGCAGTAGACAAAATAATTTTGGGAACCCCTGGCTTAGATGGGTGGACGAGCACACAGCCCACTTGGTGTTAAGTGGTTACTGGAGTCTAGACATCTGCAACGTAAAATGCACCACCCACCTTGAGATATAAGTTCTGAGGTCTCAAGTATAGTTACAACTACTGCCCCACCGTTCAAGCCGATACGGATTACTGCTTCACGGCAGAAATGGGCAGGGGCGGTGGTACCTACCCGTGCGAACTCACAAGAGGTCTTACCACCAGTAACTTGAATAATAATATACAGTAGACTGACTCGATGGTGCAGAAGCTAGCGCCTTTGACTGTTGAACTGAGGGTCCCGGGTTCGATTCCCAAAGCTTTTTTTACTGCCCCTGTAGACAGACGAGCATGCGGCCCACCTGATGATGAGTGGTTATCGTCGCCCATGGACTTCAGCAATGCCAGGGGCAGAGCCAACCTGCTGCCTACAGCTGGCAAAAATTCGTGAATTGAACAGATTTGCTTGCTCTTTTTCTGAGTGTTTATGACCTATATAATATGTATATACAGTATCTGGTGGCCATAAAACAGGGAGTCCTAATTCGGGGTTGGATGACCATGTGTGGAAAAAAAGAAGGGAAGGTTGAAAGAAATTAACTCTTTTGGCAGTCAGATATACAATAAACCTAGCTTAAATTATTTTCATTCATCTTTTTTGCCCTTGATTTTGTTTTAAAATGAAACAAACAGCTTTCCGGTCCTGCCCAAAAGCATTGTCACAATACACATAACACCGCTACCTTCCTATTGTTGAAACCCCCTTCTTCTACCGGCACGACACGCCTTTACGAAACATAATTACCATGTTAAATTATGTTTGAATTGACATAATCGCATATTGGATGAACAAAGCAAACATCAACATATGAAGATATGAAGAAATTTGCAGGTTTGTTTTACTGGATTTATTTCGGTTATCTAAATATGAATTCCTGCATACTTGCGTGGATACAAATGTAAATAATAATATAATATATACATAATAAAATATATGTATATGCATATATAGCTAGTATGGTTTCGAAAATAATTAGCGGAAGCGATTTAAAATTATAACAATATTAATTTTCATGAATTAATAAATTAAAATTTTGCGAAGAATAAGTTGTGCAAACCGCTCGTAAGTTTATTCCAGAACATTTTAAAGACCTTTTTTAGATTTCCTATTATTTTAAAACTAACCAAACGTCAAAAAAATGTTTTTTTATTTTTTTTTATTGCTTGGAGCTCACAGCCCACCTGGTGCTAAGTGGTTACTGGAGCCCATAGACATCCACAACGTAAATGCGCCACCCACCTTGAGATACAAGTTCTAAGGTCTCAAGTATAGTAACGTAATGTAATAGTAATGTAATGATACATGTAATGGAGATATATAAAAAAAATTGGTGAAATATAAATACAAAATCATTTAGTAGCTTTTAGATACATTTAAAGATGCATGTCAATAGAAATCATGAAAAGTTTGAAGACTAAATAATTTTTTTTTTGGTTGATTAAATACAGATTTCTTTGTGCGAGAGAAAATGATGCCGAAGGGTGGTTAAGACCCTCGGCATTGAAGAATGCTATGCAAGGAGGAAGAACAGCCTTATGGTTAAATTCATAATTAAAAGATTATTATAATTCAAAATATCGTAAGCTTATGCTTGCCTAAAGAACTTTTAGTGTAAACAATAAAGGTACAGTGTGGGACATATTATTATGCAAATTGTTTCTTATTTCTTTATTCCACTACTAACATTTACTGTGGCTTCGTCCGCGTGTTCAAAGTACTTTCCCGAGAGACCAAAAAGAATGGAGTGAATTTGAAGAAAGCTACATTCAGCGTTGGTTGAATACGGATTGAAGAAGACAAGAAAATAGCTACGGAGTATCAGGAAGTGTGCGTTTTCATACACAATAATTATTAGCCTCAGTCATAATTTATGGCTTAGCGTAGCGGGATCCTTTTGGAATTTACATAATATATATACCCAAAACTATAGTTCACTACTTAAATTTATGAATAAATTATCAATCCAAGTCATTAGATTACTTTATAAGAATGAAACCTCTACTTTAATAGCAAGTCTAATAGCAAGAACTATAAAATTTCCATCGCCTAAATTATTGTCAGTATCTTAGGACAAATCGGTAAATTTATATTATCGTTCAGTCATTGATGCGTGTGCAAATTTTCAGGTTTCAATCGAACTTCTTGAAGTTAGCGAGAGTCAGCTTCGAAAGATTCCGTTACGTAGATAGAACACGGGTAGCGTTCGAGCCAATAAAAACTTGTTAAAAAGGATTATTGTCACACAAATGAAAAGTAGTTTACCAAAGGTGATCGAGGCGTCAAAGAGCAGAACGTGTTTATAGATCATTACCATTCAGATATCAGACGTAAGACGACATTCCTCTTGTGAGCATGTTGTGTTGTGTGGTTTAAAATACAAGCGAACAGCGGGTCAATGGAATTACTTTTGCAAATATTAATTCAAATGAAACATGCAATGCGTGTTGTAGCCATCAATGAGGCCCATCTACATGACTCTTCAACGTCATTTATTTTAAAATTCACATTTAAAAAAAATAATTGCTTAGATGGGTAGACGAGGTCACAGCCCACCTGGTGTTAAGCGGCTACTGGAGCCCATGGCCATCTACAACGTAAATGCGCCACCCACCTTGAGATATAAGTTCTAAGGTCTCAGTATATTTATAACGGCTGCCCCATCCTTCAAACCAAAACGCATTACTGCTTCACGGCAGGAATAGGTAGGGTGGTGGTAACTACCACCAGTAAATTTATTATTATGATATTATTCTGTTTATAAGCTACGCCTGGCTACCTTACTTTAGGTCTTAGGTCTCATTTGCACAAAAGAAAATACTAGCTTTTTTATTTCCCTTGTAGGTAAAAGAGCATACGAGCCACTTGATAATGTGTGGTTATCGTAGCCCATGGACTTCAGCAATGCCAGGGGCCGAGCCAAGCCGCTGCCCACAGTTAGCTACGCAGGCTCTGCTAACTTAGTCCACGCATCATTATATTAAGCAACGTGACACTGAATTAGATAATTAGGCAACCGATGTCGTGTCGATGGTTTGGTTTCGCAAACAAAATGTTTGCATGCGCGTCTGTGTCACACGTCCCTTCGGTAAATAGTACAATGTCACATGCGTCGGAGGCATAACAAATATTACCTAAGGCGTTGGTTAATTGTTTGCTATGTTTGAAGCTTAATTTGATGTGAGCATAATGGTCGTTAACTAGGATTTTAAGTGGAACAATGAAGGATCGTTTTCAAAAGCTGGAAAGTCGCTGTTTCTTTTTAATATATAATATATCATAATAATAATATTCATTTCTGTATCTTAACACGCAATAGAATATCAAACAGATACCATCATCATCATCATCATCAGCCTTTATCTGCCCACTGCTGGACATAGGCCTTCCCCAATGCGGTTCCACATAATGCACTCCTCCGCCTTCCGCATCCAACGACTTCCCGCCGTGCGCACTAAATTGTTAACAGATACCGCTGAAAGCTTATAAAGATAAATTTTGAGTCGATTTTTTCAACGACATTAAATAAAATCACTTTAATATAGTTTAAGTAACTAAGATTTTATAAATGTTACATTGTTTAAATACGATACATTGAACAGCAATAGCTGAGCCATCTCCTTTTGCCTTTTTCTCTTTTTTTCTTCTTTTTTTTGTATTTCATTTTATTTTCTGTGATGTGAAAGGCAATAAATGATTTTTATTATTATTATAGTGTATTAAACACTGCCACGCCTGGGAAGACGGCAGGACACACTCCGGCGAGGTGGGCAACAATCGGCCGGAGTGTGTCCTGAGTGGAGATTATTATTATTATTATTAACAAACGGTTACGGTTAAAAAACGATGGAAACTAATGTACGAAATTTGTATATTTCGAGCTTTAGATCTTTTTACTTATTCACACTTATTCGTCACGCGATTTTACTCTTTTCTTGTATGCTAAAGGAAGCAGTAATTATTTCCCTATCTTTACAAGAAAAATGTCCGTAACGAAACAAAAGAGGAAATGTAACAAATATACAAAATGAATCTAAGGTATCGGCGATTATGGTTGAATGTCGATTACTTTAAGCTTTGCGAGTTTCATTCATCACAGCATGTTATTCGATCATTTTGGATTTTTTTCGTAAATTTAGAATGTATCATCATCATAATCGGTTGCTCTTGGCAGAGCAGTCGTGGTCATGTGGAATTCTTGCTCATTAAAGCCTTGACAGAATTTAGAATGTATGTAAATAAATAAAAACGTTTTTCGTAACAAGCTTTGAAGTGCGACATAATCGTATCTCTCAATACGAGTACAATGGGCATTATAACCATTATAGAGTAAATTAGATTTTAAATTTTAGAAGCTTAGCTTTCTAGAAGCTTAATTTTGAAAAGGCCTAACTATATATGTATGTATATACTTTTAATCATTTCCTTGACGCGTTACAAAAAGACAAAAACTGACCTGTTCAAAGTTTTAACATCATAACCCTTCTGGATGTATTCGATGCCAGCTGGCACTGCCATGGTCAGCAGCAACCTTGGTTTTCCGGTCTTCTCAGATTCTCTTTCGAACTCCTCACGTAGCTCTCGCACCAGCCTCGAGTAGTTCTCCCGGTCTTTGGGCTTGCTGCCGTCGCGGAAGGCAGGGTACTCCCAGTCCAAGTCGAGACCATCGAACCGGTTTTGTCTGAGGAACTGTAAAGACAAATACGGAGTTGAATAACAAAAGGATGCGAATTATTATAGGGCCTTTTTTATAAATTAACACTAATCATACCAACGCTTACTGGTACCCATTTCTACCATAGCATAGTAGATAACGGTATTCGATAAGTATTACTCAAAGTAAACAAAACAAAACAAAGAAAATATTTGTAAGCAAAAGTCATGAAGTCAAATGTGCAAAAGCAATAAGATGACACGTGCATTTTCAATGCAAAATTTCAAAATGGGTTATTTGACCCGTTAAGGTATTTTTAGTGTTAAGGGAAAAAAATAGAGTGACTTTAGGCCCGTAGTAAAGCGTGTAGCCCAAAACAGATTGCGATGATCAAATACTCTTAAAACAGAAGACCTAGTTAGTAGGGCGCACCGCGTAGGGTAGTCAACAGTAGGGTAGTACTAAAATCCAAACCAGTTAAGATTCGATTCGAAGGGTCGAATAATTGTGCCATTCAATTGAAACATCGACCTCACGTCTCAACATGGGCATACCAGACGAGCCGAAAACTAATTTCACCTTTAAAAGCAATAAATAAGGTTACACTAAAAATAGTTGAGCAGTTAAAGACAATATCATCCATGTTTTGTAAGAAAAATACACCTAAATGCTGCTAATCATAACCTATACTTCAATACTAATATTATAAAGCTGAATAGTTTGTTTGTTTGAACGCGCTAACCTCAGGAACTACTGGTCCGATTTAGCTAATTTATTATTATATTTAGCGACATAGCTCACGATAGCTCATTTATTGAGGAAGGCTTATAGGCTATATAACATCACGCTAAGACCAATACAAGCGGAGCACCAATAAATAATCTATCAAAATCGGGGTTTTTTTTCCCTTTTGAGAGCTTCCGCTGCATGCGCTGCAGAAACGGTTAAAGTTTCGCTAAAATAATGTATGACAGAATTGTTCCCCTTCAAAAGATGTAAAAAAAATCCGCGACAGCATATGTCCATTTGTTAGGTTGGCTCACTATAACGTTTTTTATGCTAACCGAATTTGTTCTAAAATAAAGTATTATTTGTGAACTATTCCACGCGGGCAAAAGCTAGTGTTATAATATACCTTACAATTAAAATATCTTTCAATTATATCGTGATAATTTTCGGATTATTTGTAGCGTTTGGAATTTGCGCCGTCCGGACTTAATGAACTCAAACTCCAATCAAAAAATGGGAATCAGACGCTATGGCGAATAAGGTACGGTGGATCTTATAAACTAAAACCCTTATCTGATCTACATACCGCTCCACAGCCAAACACTTGGAGTGTTGTTATTCATGAAACAAAATGTACCTTAATAGCGTTTCTGACGAACTCTTTCCTTCTCTCCTTGGACGCTACCATAGGGGAGAATCTGGAAGAACCCTCGTTCCATCCGCCTATGGCTAGGAGTGTTTTCAGATTCTTGTTGTACGTCTTTAGTCCGGTGAACTTGGCATAACCACCTGATGATGAAAATATCAGTTTTGAACATAGACGGTTAGGATCTACGGCCTTTGGTCTGGCCACTGTTAGGGTTTACTGGAACGTAGAAAAAAAGAGCTCTTTACAGACCTTTCTCGATGTCCTGGTATTTGTCGAATGGCTTCAACGTGTTATCCTTCGTGAAGCCCCCGAAGGCGTATATAAGATGCGTGCACAGGTACGGATTGATGTTCTGTGGGTTGAACTTGGCCGTACCGGGCCGATACACCGACCAGTTCGTGTAGTAACACACCACTCGCGGTTCGTTTGATGATACTGTGGAAGAGTAATAATACATTGAAAGATTTAAATGTAACTAGGAATTCCAAAACGGGAAGTCAATTGGAATAACTATTTCAAAATACGCCCACCTAAAAAGTTTCGTTGAATGTTCTGCAGTAAAAGTTATTCTAAAATTCAATAAGTACGAAAATTACATTCAAGCTGAAACAGTACGACTAGTGATAAGACTAAATAATCCAAGTGGACCAGTGGAAATCAATACACTCCATTGTTCTGATGACGCTGAGTCTAATCCAACGTCGAGTCTAGTCTTACAATGTGACTTCATTTTTGTTTAGTTGGGTATCCAAATTCGGCCCATTAGGAATTAATGTTCACAATGTGAATTCCACTATCCACCCCGACATTAAAGTTTCACTTGTATTGGATAAACAGCTTTCGGACCATTCGAATTAGAACGCAAATCTGCGCCGATCAGCAAAGATGCCTTCTCTTTTGATTAGCGTGATTTCATATTCCAATTTAAATGAGACTTCAAAAACACATGTTTCATTTTGACCACGGCCGTGCCATTTACAAAATGAGTAAATCACCCGGTGATATATTCTCAAAAGATCAAGCAAATACATAACTTATGCAATCTGCTTGGTATTTCCGCGTCTGCGCCGGCATTATTTCTAAATTTTACGCAATACCAATCCAATTTATTGTAGTAATACCGAATTTTTATTGTCTTCTAATCTTACATTTTGTTGGTCGAAAAGGAAAGTAGTCAAATACTAAATTACCTCGGTTCGTTTTCAAATTGATCTAGAAACTAAATTATTTCTAACCTCCTTCTTAAGATCTGGTTTCTACATTGATGTGGTTGTATTTCTGCCATGAAGCAGTAATGCGTTTCGGTTTGAAGGGTGGGGCAGCCGTTTTAACTATATTTGAGACCTTAGAACTTATATCTCAAGGCGGGTGGCGCATTTACGCTGTAGATGGAATAAAAAATAGGTACAACTTCGTAACAACTTTGACATCGTGTGCCAAAATTCGTGGCAATAATTACATTGTGAAGTTTATAATCACTGATGAATATTAAAATCGGTTAGGTAGGCTTATATATTTTGTAAATTTGAACACCGTTGCATCGCTAGATACGAATGCACCGGACGTCTTGTCCATTAGGTCACGACGACTTCAATCATTTGATCTCGGTAAAGCACTGAGGCATATGGGAAACGTTGGAGGGGCTCCAATACTACATAACAATCACGATCACGCAGTCAGGAGTAATTGAGGAGAAGGAATGGTAGACAGCGGCTTGGCTCTGCCCCTGGCATTGCAAGAAGTCCATGGCCGACGGTAACCACTCACCATCAGGTGGGCCGTATGCTCGTCTGTCTACACGGGCAATAAAAAAAAAAAAGCGAAGAAGAATGCGAACTAGTTAGATAGAAGTTAGAATACAAGGAATTTGTTTAGTGACTCTGAATTTATGTCTCATGGCTACTTCTCTGCTTACGCTGTTCAAGTATCGCAACAAAGATCCCTAAGTAGCTGTTTATAAAGTAATAAATTCTCTTTTATTTTTTTCGGAAATGGTTGTATAGCATCCTATATGCCAAGGATCGGTGGAATCTAAAAGGTAAAATAGAATTAATAGTGACTTTGGGTTTGAAATAACCTATACGCTTCTAAAATGGTAGTCCCACGCTATAAAATTTTCGTGTTTCGCGTTAATATGGAACTAATTAACCGGAAAATTGTTAAAAAAATAAAAGATTAACTTGATCTGACTGTTCGTCCATGAACTACTGATCAGGGTTGCCATTTGAAAGAAATACCAATTATTTACTCTGGCAACTAATTCAATTGAAATTGCTGCAACGTTTTCAAATCTATCCAGTAATAATCTCTAAATAAGTGCAAAAGCTCTAAAGCAGAATTTGATGTCTGCTCTGTCGTATTCTTAACTACTAACAACAACACCAGTACTTAAAACGCTTATTATGAAATCGAATACTGATGAAACATTTTAAATATGATACTAATTAACTTATCGTAATCCTCAAAGAAATCATTCATAATTAAAATCCAATTATAAAATTGCTAAACCTCACATGAATTATTTTCTATTACATTTAGTAGCAACCCTAGTTAGTGTTGCCATAAGAACAGTATTACATTAAGCGAATGTCGTCAGAATTATTTTATAAACGAAGTGTGTCGTTCGAGACCGCAACAAAATAATTTTTTTATATTCCTTTTTTTAGTGTAACAATCCTATTTAGTTATGGCCAATAATAAAATACAAATAGAGTATGAAACATTACAACATTTCGTGATGCTTCTTTTGCTTTTTTGTTAACGGCAACAAAACTTACAAGTGACATAAAGACTCGTCTTTTATTAGATTGTAATTGTTGCCAGTTTTTAGAAAACATATTTCTTCTAAAATATTCACTCGTTAAAACTACTCCAGCGCCACCTGTCACATTGACACTTCGTATTTCATTGTCAGATTACAATCAAATCCTTGACACATACGAGTTAATAAAGCCCACCGCGATATTCACTAGCTTAACGATTATAAATTGAAATCTTCCAAAACAATGGGCTATAACGTGAAGTCGCAATTAATTAGTGGGCGTGCGCCTTACGTGGTAACCTCCAAACAATTCTTGGGACGAACAAACATGGACAAAAAATTACTGTCTTAAATTAAGAAGCTAAGAACTAGGTACATGTGAGAGCAGTACAATTTTCACATCTAGTCATACTTATGGCACTTGATCTTCGAAGACACATTAGTGGAAGCAGATGAAATGCAAAATACTGCTGTGAACTCTGTTAACCCACAGCCTATTTCTGCCGTGAAGCAGTAATGCGTTTCGGCTTGAAGGGTGGGGTAGCCGTTGTAACTATACTGAGACCTTAGAACTTATATCTCAAGGTGGGTGGCGCATTTACGGTTATAAATGTCTATGCGCTCCAGTAACCACTTAAAACCAGGTGGGCTGTGAGCTCGTCCACCCATCTAAGCAATAAAAAAAAAAATCGCCGGATCTTCTCAGTGGGTCGCGACTCCAATCTGGTAGTAGATTCAGCGAAGCACTGCTCTTGCTAGAACCTGTGTTAGCAATTCTCTCAGGTTGAGCCCGTGAGCTCACCTACCGGTCCGCGCCAAGTTGGAATAACCCCTTAAGCTACCAAAAATTAAGTAGGGAAAAATCTAAGAACTCTTTTCAAACCTAATTGGAAAAATGACCTAAGAACCGGTTTATGCGGTGTGAAAATGATCTCTAGAAATGCACTGTGGTTCAAGGTAAGGCTTAACTTCTCACGAGACGATGCAGTGGTATAAAAGAGGTGGCGGGATCTTCTATGCTTAATCAAAACTACTTCTGCGGTAGGTCCCTTGTGAGTATATAAGCTGCAAACTATTCCAGACGTTGGAAACAATTTAATGACAATAAAAAAACTAAAAAATTCAATCCATAAAAGTATTTTTGTGATTTGTATCTATGATATCGAAGAAAGAAGAAATTACTATCTTATATACCTACTAGTTAAAATAAAAAATGCGACCCTGGTATCTCTTAACTTTTTTTTATTGTTTTGCTGTTACCACCATCCTGCCTATTTCTCGTTCCAATGTAGCTGTGACTTCGACCTACATTCTCATAGTAGCGGCTCGTATGCAAAACGCAATACATTCTCATCGATTTTTTTCATTCCCATTGGTTTTTGACAAAAATAGGTAAGTAGGTTTTCCATTAAAATGTATTAAAAATTGTGATCTTTTATTACAAATATCAAGAATGTCTAATGTCACTAAGCTAATCGATAATATTTTAAGTATGTATAACTTTTAATTGGAAACATTACCTGGCGTTGTTGCTATCACTGCCAATAGCAGAGTCAGCCATATTGTGGATTCCTGTGAACAATAAAAATTGGTATTAAGAAAAGTTTTGAAAAATCTCACCGTCATACGGAGCCAATCATGAAAATTAAACTAAAGCTTCCTAAGCTCATAAAGATTTATTAGTAAAACTACTGTAATTTGGATACAATTAAACAGAATTTCGTAAGCTTGCCCGTCTAACGTGAAGCTTGCGCTGTAGTCCGTAAACATCACCACATCACGGATCGTGAAATATCAGGTCAGGGTTCTTTGCTTTTTCCCCTTAACTTTTACTGGTGGTAGGACCTCTTGTGAGTCCGCGCGGGTAGGTACCACCGCCCTGCCTATTTCTGCCGTGAAGCAGTAATGCGTTTCGGTTTGAAGGGTGGGGCAGCTGTTGTAACTATACTGAGATCTTAGAACTTATATCTCAAGGTGGGTGGCGCATTTACGTTGTAAATGTCCATGGGCTCCAGTAACCACTTAACACCAAGTGGGCTGTGAGCTCGTCCACGCATCGAAGCAATAAAAAATAATAATAATAATGATTATCAAGATAAGAATAGCTTTCCAAACAAATAAAAATAGTAAAGTCATTTCCGCACACCTATAAAACAGGCAGACACATTAAGCAATCTACAATAATCTATTCTAGAACTCAAATTATTTAATAGTTATATAAAATACATATAGAATACATCATTATATGTAATAGAGCTTATGCATTTCCTAAATGATTGCACAATACAATAGACACTATTGTGCATTGTTACTTATTGTATGATACTGTACTTTTTTTTTAAGATATGGCCCCAGCGCGTTAGGCCTTGATTTTTCCAATGTCACAGTATAAAGAAAATCGAGCAGTACTTAAATAAAAATAAAAATCTCAATATAATTAGTTCGTTCGTTAGTCTCGCTAAAACTCGAGAACGGCTGGACCGATTTGGCTAATTTTGGTCTTAAATTATATGTGGATTATATGAAGATAAATATGAAAATGCTCGGAATTAAATAAAAATAACAATTTTGTTTTCCCTTTGATGTATCCCCCGTCGGACGGATTCCTTTTGTTTTATTTTAAGTTTATTTTATACAAAAGGTCTTTTATTTATCGATTGAGGCACTACGAAGTCTGCCGGGTCAGCTAGTTTCTAATAAATCTTAATATCGACGACGACTTTATGACCCACTTCACCGAACCCTTTACCGTTACACATATTTCCGCGCCGGCCATAACTAAGGAATTGTTCCGGTTCGGTATTCAGACTTCGTCGCCATCCACCATCGTCCGACGGTGACCGTTATCCGAACAATCGAAGTGCCGGTCGCGTTATGAATATTCTGTTATGAATTAATAAGTTTTATGTTTCGGACCGTTTTGTCATCCTGTGAGGTTTATGCGTCCGGTGCATTTACGGTACTTAAATTAATGTATATTTTAAAACTGTAACAACATAACAGTGCAACAATATAAGAATTCATATTGACTGACTCTGTGGCGCAGTAGTTAGCGGCCCCGACTATTGCTCCAAGGGTTATGGGTTCGATTCCCACATCGGCCAAGCATTGTATGATGAACAGACTTGTTTGTTCTATGTCTGGATGTTCATTATCTCTATATGTATATATTTAAACATACATATGTAAGTATGTTTATCAGTGTCTGGTGCCCATAGCACAGGGAATCCTAAATTGGGGCGGGATGATCGTGCGTGATTTGTTCCCAGTTGATAATATTATTATTATTATTCATATTCATCATCATCAACAGCCCACAGTCGTCCACTGCTGGACATAGGCCTCTCCCAATCTACACCGCTGAGACCGGTCTGCGGCTCTCCTCATCCACTTTTTGCCGGCCACCGTGCGGAGGTCATCGCACCATCTAGCCAGGGGGCGTCCCACGTTACGTCTTCCGCTGCGCGGTCTCCACTCGAGAACTTGTTCATATTACTCTTGCTTTATTTATCTTTAGTTCGTGTGCGACTGAGGTGACACCAGTCAATGTCGGGAGAATCGTTTGTGATTATCCTTACATCTATTTTTACCAACTACCCGCAACCCGAAAAGAATTCATCCTCGCTATCTGAAAAGACTACGCTTATCAACCACATTTAAAGGTAGGCAGCGACTTGGCTCTGCTCCTGGCATTGCCGAAGTCCATGGGCGACGGTAACCACTTGCCATCAGATCGGCCGTATGCTCGTCTGCATACAAGGACAATAAAAAAACAATAAAAATCTAGAATATTTTCTTCGTGAAATGCGTCTCTAGAATGAAGTAGCCTACAAAATATGGCTTGAAATAAGTCCAAGCGGTAGGCAGCGATTTAACTGTATATTGCTTCACTCAGACTCAATTATATTAAGAACTCTGTAACAAACCTATTTTTGCATAACATACTGTCTTATAAGTATGCGTGTAGTCTGTATAATAATGTATGCCAGCGAATCGGTAAACATTTTATTTATGTTGATAAAATACAATGTAATTTGTGGAAGTGAGAAATAATAATGTTAATTTTAAATGCCCAGCGAAGCGGTCGGGTACAGCTAGTACAGTGTATAGCTATGTCATATAGCTATATTCTAGCAACGTCCTAGATTGATGCCAATCCTGTATTGATCTGCAAAATGCAAGCAAAGTCGCCGGTAATATTTAATATGTTACAAGTGAAATGAGTTGGTACATAAAACTCCGATCTATGTTACAAAGGACTTATGTAAGAAGCAATTAGTTGGCATAACTCGATGATAGACCTCCCTCATTACGGACTTAGACTTTCACGCTTGATGCCTCGAGGGGTAATGTTATAGGCTTTGGTTCAGTGACGTTCTAAATGAACTGTAATTGTGAGTGTGTGTGTGTGTTTTTTTTTATTGCTTAGATGAGTGGACGAGCTCACGGCCCACCTGGTGTTAAGTGGTTACTAGAGCCCATAGACATCTACAACGTAAATGCGCCACGCACCTTGAGATATAAGTTCTAAGGTCTCAGTATAGTCACAACGGCTGCCCCACCCTTCAAACCGAAACGCATTACTGCTTCACGGCTGAAATAGGCGCGTGTGTGTGTGTCAGGCTCTTCAAGCACCGACCACAGTCCTGGTCGAACTCTTCGATTACGACGATTTTGACAAGTGAACTAACCCATATATGAGTCGTCTATTATCAAAGGTGGCAATCTGTGCATTTGGACAAAAAAATGTTATTGATTTGGCGATACAGATTGATTTGAATATAATCGTCTCCTTCAAAGAATACGGTTCAAAACCTGCATTAAATAAAGGTTAATACTTAACCTGTTATTTATCTAAGATGTCGTTCAGAAGAGTTTTGTGACTGTCAATGGAATACAAAGTCAATAATTCGTTTTTCTGATTTACCAATAATTGTCCAAAAGTCACATTGCCGGCTTTGATAATAGTCGACTCATANACTGATCGCGCGTTTCTCTCATTATTGTATTTTCATATATTTGTTAGTCGTTTGTTTTGTGTCTCGTTAATTTGTTAATAATCTGTAGTGTATCGTGTTGTCGTAATATAGAACTATTTCTCGTATTGTTTCGTTTAATTTTTTATATCCAGTAAACTCCAGTCGTGCGTCGGAGCGGACACACACACTTTTTTTTTTTTTAAGAAATGGCCCCAGCGCCTTGTGCCTTGATTTTTTCAATGTCACAGTATAAAGAAAATCGAGCAGTACTTAAATAAAAATAAAAATCTAAATATAATTAGTTCGTTCGTTAGTCTCGCTAAAACTCGAGAACGGCTGGACCGATTTGGCTAATTTTGGTCTTAAATTATATGTGGAAGTCCAGAGAAGGTTTATATGAAGATAAATATGAAAATTCTCGGAATTAAATAAAAATAACAATTTTGTTTTTCCTTTGATGTATCCCCCGTCGGACGGATTCCTTTTGTTTTATTTTAAGTTTATTTTATACAAAAGTTTAGGTCTTTTATTTATCGATTGAGGCACTACGAAGTCTGCCGGGTCAGCTAGTTTCTAATAAATCTTAATATCGACGACGACTTTATGACCCACTTCACCGACCCCTTTACCGTTACGCGAACCATGTCCACATATTTCCGCGCCGGCCATAACTAAGGAATTGTTCCGGTTCGGTATTCAGACTTCGTCGCCATCCACCATCGTCCGACGGTGACCGTTATCCGAACAATCGAAGTGCCGCCATGCCGGTCGCGTTATGAATATTCTGTTATGAATTAATAAGTTTTATGTTTCGGACCGTTTTGTCATCCTGTGAGGTTTATGCGTCCGGTGCATTTACGGTACTTAAATTAATGTATATTTTAAAACTGTAACAATATAACAGTGCAACATTATAAGAACTAGTGATCCCGCAGTAGTCGAAATTCGACTATGATTAATTGTAATTATAAGTTTGAACATTATCATGGTTCTATTGTCAAAGACTATTTATTATACTTCTATAATCACAGATTTCGTCAAGACTACCCTATAGACAAATATACAATATTAACCTATTCTCAATTTGGCCACAGACTATAAGCAACAAAAGTTTGACAATAAACATAGAGTATACATATGTGTGTGTGTCAAATATATGGTAGTGTGTATAATGTTTTTTTTGTTGATTTAATATTATTAATGACTAATTAAAAAAAAAAAATTAGCGTTCTGCACTCCTTCACTATATTCTCGATAAGTGTGGGAAATTTCATACTCCTCCGTCGGCGCAATTTTTGTTAAAAGGGGTACAAAGCTTTTGCTTCACGTATTTATATTGACTGAGTCTCTGGCGCAGTAGTTAGTGGCCCCGACTATTGCTCCAAGGGTTATGGGTTGGATTCCCACATCGGCCAAGCATTGTATGATGAACAGACTTGTTTGTTCTATGTCTGAATGCTTATTATCTATATATGTATATATTTAAACATACATATGTAAGTATGTTTATCAGTGTCTGGAGCCCATAGCACAGGGAATCCTAAATTGGGGCGGGATGATCGTGCGTGATTTGTTCCCAGTTGATAATATTAT